ATTGTCCTAACACTGAGGTCAGAGTAACTACACGTCGTTTACACAATAATTTTCCATGTGGACTTCCATGTTTGAGGGATGAGTATGAAACAATCCAAACCTAAAGCAAATCTCTGTGTCCCAGGTACCTGTCCTAGTAGGATTTGTGTTCCACAGCAGAGCTTTGTGGTGTAACATTAATAATCCATATTTGATCAGACCCATATGTGCAAAGTCATTGTGAGTTTTAAGAGTGGAAGATGGTGTCTAAAGAAGTTGCTGCTGTTCCTCTTACTCAGAACAGCAGGCCCCCATGTTAGCAGAGCTGTGCCATTTTAAGGGATGTCAGTCTGGGTTTCAGGAGTGCATTTGCCTTAGTAATGTAATCCAAATGCCTTTTTTTTGCCTTGGACAATGTTTTAAAAGTTTCCCTGAAGTTTTGAATAACAGTAAAGTAACACCTTCATTCCAGCATGAATGGAGGGAGAGAATAGCTCCCCATATAAAACATAAAATTTCAGGAGTGCTGGAGTAAGCAGGTGTGGGTGAGTGTGAGCTTTTGTACCTGCAGGGCAAACATCCCATCCTCCCTTTCTGACCATGTCAGTGCATGGGGAAATCAGCCAGACCCATTTTCCTCATCTTACCCTATGAATGTCCATGTCATCTCCATTGGTTTTTGAACTGCTGGGCACAGGTAACTGAATTAGCACCATCTCAGAAACAGGGCTGTTGTCATCCTCTCCTCACTCCTAGCATGCCTGTGCAGTCCGAGCCACTGATTGACCCCAATTGATCTGATTTGACTGCACTCCTGTGGAGTAGACAAACAGTGCAAGGGAATCCAGGGACTCTAATTCACAGTACCTTATTTGGGTTCCTAGGTAATAATTCTTATTTGCATTAATCACTTGCATTAATCACACAGAACCCGAGGCTGCCTCTTGCCTTCTCTGCATTCCTGTTCCTGACAATGGAACAAAAAGGTATCTGCTCTGGAGAAAGGGTGGTTTAAGTGTATTGACACTTGATGCTTAGTAGTTGCAAAACTTAACTGTTAGAAAAAAGACATTTTTTCAAATCAATGACTCACGCATTACTGTAAAATATATCGATTAAAAACAAAGCATAATTTTAGTCAGTAGAGTGATGCAATACTGAAATAAATTTATCTCTTGACTTTTGCATTAACCTTTTATTGACTGCTTGCATACTTATAATTAACACACACTTTAGCTAGCTTGGTTAATTTTAGCATTGTGGTCAGTGTCCTCTAATGTAGATGACACCCTGATCATCAAAAATCAGTGCAGCCCAGGGAACCATGACCAGGCAAGTGTCTGTCTCAGTGGATGCACTCTTGCCCAGGGAGATACCAGCCACCTTCCAGGGAGAGCATCATCTGCTGTTATGCAAATAGTCAAACAGTCATACAAATGCTTGTCATCACTTAGTTGAACATATTAATAAATATTATTAAATATTAATGAGTAAAGTCCGTTTCTAAAAAACAGACAAAAAGGTTATGAAAAATCTGAGAACTTTAGAGGGCAGAACTAGTGAGAACATGCTCTTCAACAGTAACTAAAAATGGGCTTTTGAAATTGAAACTGTCACAAGTCTTGGTTGTTTCAGTAAGAAAGTAGGGACCATGGAGTTTTGTGCATTCTATAAACAAACAATTCTTTCTATAATATGTTATTGAACACCTACTGTCAAAGTGTTGCAGCTAAATTGCTCTGAAATATATCACAGCAGTTTTCCTGTTCTCCTGCTGCAGATAAAGTATTGAAGGAATCTATTCTGTATTTCAAAGTTTGTGTGATTTCCACTCTTTACATAATTCTTACATATAATATGCAGAGGTTGGTTCTATTTTCTTTTGGAGTTTTGACTCGAGTAACTCAAATAACAGTTTTAAATTGACATGGAATATTTTCATTAACTTACAATATTGTAACTCTTTATACTTTCCCACTACCACCATAGCTCAATGTTTCCAGCCTTTTTTTTGTTTTTTTAATCAGGAGTTATGGTTGCTAACTCATTTTAACTGTCAGATACAAAGAATTTTAAATCATTCTGTGCAATCATTTAGATGCATTTGATTGTTCTGCTACAGTTTAAAATGTTGCTCTGCTTTTGGCAAGATCTTCAGCTCTGTTCCACTGCTACAAATTAAAGACCATTGTAGGAACAATTTCTCCTGTAGAATTTTTTTATTAATCAGAAATATACTTATCTAGAAAGGTCTGGGTTTTGCACCCTAGTTCTGAGTAAGAAAGGACATTTTTAACCATGTTCCAGATTGTGGGAGCAGTTCAGGTGGATTTGTTATTGAACTGCAGGTGCAGTGGTGACTGCCTAGAACCAGCCCCATAGCTTTGAACATGAAAAACTTAAGCTGTCTTTGATGTCAGCAGATCTGGCACAGGGGTTGTAATTTTGGTCAAAATAGATGATTGACAAATTATAAGAATGTGTCATTCCCTGCTGTTCCTGCTAGTGTGGAGCAAAGCTGTAGAAGTCCAGCAGAAGGAGGAAAGCCCCATGGCATCACTGAACTTGGAGTGCTGAGGCTCTGCTTTCCCTTTTTTGTGTTTTTACAGCACATTGATGCATTTCTGTCACCAGACTGGCACAGCAAGTGTGAGGACCTGACACACTCCCATTCCTCTACTCCCTCCCATGGAATGTGCTATGGCTAAACCTTCCCCATTGCCTGATCTGCTGGAAGCTCAGGCCTGTGCTGGGTTGTGGGGAGACCTCTCAGCAAAGGCTCTGCTGGTAACAAATATAGAAAAGGGAAAGCAGCCAGCAGGGGCTCTTGGGCTGTCCAGGCACAGCATCACCATGACTGCCACCACATTTACAGCAACACAAACACCCACATGGGAGGGAGAAGCTGGTCAATCTGTGTAAGAGAGCAAGGAAAAAAAGACATGAAAGGTAAAAAGAGGACTCTGAAATTCTGAGGAAGCTAAAGGCTGATATATCTTTTCTCTCAGTGAAAACTTTTAATAGATGTGGGAGAGAGAAAATGTTTATCATTATTGTTATTAGCTGAGTTTTGCAGATCACATAACATGCCTGCAGTATTTACTGGCTGAGCTTTGTGATTTGTCATCTGCAATAATCATTACATGGTTAATTTATCCACTTTAAGAGGGAAATGCTTAAACTGGAGTGTCTTATACTACCCACCAAACTGAGTGTATTATTTTGTGCCAAGACAGAAAATAAAGCAAGCTTTTAAAAGCCTTATACAGTTATGCTGTAATTAGTTTCAGCTTCCCCTGCATATTAATTTTCTCCTGTTCCTTTATATAATTTGGAAAATGTCTTCAGAACATGATGGCACAATCAGTTAAGTACCTCTCAGAACTCACACACTAAACTGCATTTGCTATAACAACTATTATAAAGCAGCCAGCAAAACAAATCCTCTGTTATTCTGTACAGTGCAGCTTATCAATGCAAACAGTTTAATATTTATGCTAAGAGGATTGTCACAAGTAGCTTCTGTTCCTTTAATTCTTGTTTTAAATAAATAATGAGAACATTTAAACACATTACTCTTCCCAGGGCCCTGAGGTCGGCTAATCTTATTATTTATGAAGTGATGTGCTACATAATAGTACTTAGTGCATGTTAACAGATGCTATTATCAGGGGCTGATGTGGAGAGCTGAAGATATATTGGAATGCTCTGTGTTAATACTGTCCTTGCAGTGTAATGTACGATGGATTGAGTGCCCAGGATGCTGGTGCAGCAATTAACCACCCACCAACATGGGTGTAAAGCTGAAGGATGTTTTCTCATGGGCATTACACTGCTATTAATAATCCCCAGGAGAAGAAGACATCTTTCATTTGGCAACAGTCTCTTCCAGAAGGTCAATGGTGTGGACAAGGAAGTTGAGAGTGTCAGTGTTGTTAGAGTTCATTCTACTGAGGTGAAAGGTGGATATATGTTTAAAACAGCTTTAAAGTTCTTACAAAAATTACATGCTTTATAAAAGACAAATTTTAAAAAATGTCATATAAGAGATAAAAGTGCATTTCTGCAATTTGGTTGTTATCTCTTTAAAGACCTAGATAGACCTGCAGTATGTACCAAAATTAGGGTAATTCTCAGCATTTTGCTTTTTTTTCCCATTGTAAATATTAACTAATTAATCAGTAATGTGCAAATTATTTGAGGGGAAGGGAATAAAGGGGGGAAGAAATCCTCCTTGAGCTGTGACAGTGTTTTTGATGTGGCATGTATTAGTCTAATCTTTAAAGATGTGATGGTTGTCACTTATAAAAACTTTCCTCTGCAGGCTGCAGTTCAGTTTAATATTATAATTAGACTTCACTAGTATTGATGAATAATCCATTTAATAAAAAACATTGTAATTTAAACATTTTCTCTGGGGACTAACATACACTAGCCTCTTAATTTAATTTTATTGAAGTTTTGCCCACCCATTCATCATTGGAAGTTGTTATTAACCTCCATTTCCATTTTTCTTTATAGAATTTTCTCTTTTTATATTGCCTTTTTCAGTGCTAAGCAGGTTGATACACTTGTAAATCTCCAGAATCTACAAAGCTAGTCTGGCTTCTTTAATGTTGTTTAATCTATCCCCCCTGACCTTAATGCAGTAAATTCAGTTTAATCTTTCTCAATAATCTAGTAATACATTGGAAACCAGCAAACATTTAAATCTGATAATGATTTAATCACATACTTTAAATAACAGCTGAGATAATGAAAAAATAATTCACCATATAAAGGAACACTAACTGAGTTTTCTCTGTGATTGGCTTTTTGAGAAATCCCTATAGAAAATACAAAGCCTACAACAGAAATCAACTTCACTGGAAATGTGCAATACATTTGGTGTCAGAAGATGTCGTATTTCTTTTTTTTATCATCTTTCTCTCTAAATTAATGCTCAAATGTATCCTTGCTGAGTATTCAGTTTCTTGATGCAGTTTTACTTAAGTGGTTTATCTGCTTACCTTTCTTTTCAGATGCCAGTCAGACGCAGCAGAGAGCTTGCCAGAGGACCAGAGACCAGAATGCCATCCTTTCTGGACAGATGATGATGAATGTAATATGCCTCTGCCATATGATCTAGAAGAAATAATTGCCTATCTACAAAATCTTGTTCAATGGATAGAATAACAAGCGACCTTCCAGCCTAGAATTATTGATGCTGGTCATCTGGGGAGAAGCTTTGTTATCATGAATCTTTTAAGCTTTATGATTTCTTGATTGTATGTGATTTTATGTGTCAATGCAGATTTTGCCAGTCTTTACACAGTAGCTTAGTTACTGTCTCATAATTAAAAGGACCAGCCCCCAAATTTAGAGAAGTGTGTGTTTTTTAAGACCTGAAGTCCAGAACACCAGCCTTAGTTCCCTTCTCCTCCACTCTAATTCCCATTGACCCTGCAGCCCAGGGGTGTCTGTGTATCACAGACTCACAGAATGTTGCAGGTTGGAAGGGACCACAGTGGGATCACCTGGTCCAACCCCCTGGTCAGGCAGAATTCCCCAGAGCACAGGCACAGGGCTGTGTCCAGACAGTTCTGGAATGTTCCCTGTGAGGGAGACTCCACAGCCTGCACAGAGCATTTTTCATTTTTTCAGATGAGGGATTCTGTAGGAGCATTCTAACACAGATCCCAAGACTTCCTTACTGTTTTGCCTCATGGCAACAGAGTACTGCTAAGAGAGATTTCTGATGTGAATCTGTACCTTCTGGTCTCCCTGGAATTCAGAATTCAGTTCCTAACCATTGCTTTGTTTCTGCATGTTGTGAATCCTACTCTGAGGTCATGTTTCCCAGTGCATTGCCAAAAGAAGTGATGGACCTAAATAAGACCTTCCATTTAGGTTGTTTGGTTCTCTGAGAAACTGGATTTAGATTGTGTGATATCGGGTATTTCAGCCTCATGTGAGATCTATGAGCACAAACCCAAAAACTATGAAAAAGGAAGCTGTTTGTGATGTTTTGTAGTAACATGCTATAAAAAGAACAATTCTGTGGGGGATCATACAGGGTGCTCCTGAATGAGATAGAAAATTTTGTCTTGGTAAATTGCTATTTTATCTGAACTGCTTGGGCTGGTGTCCAACTCTGCCAGAAAAAGCAGAAAATCATTGGGGTGAAAAAGCACTCAGGCTGTATTACCAAAGAAGTCAGTAAGGTTCAGAGTTTGACATTGCCACCAAGAAATGAATATGCCTCCTGTGTTGATGTGGTGTTTAAAGTCTCTGCTGAGGCTGACCTCACCCAGAACACTCCAGCTTCTGTACTGGCAAAGTGCTGTATGTGTGGATGAGGCTTGCGCTCCTGAAAATTGTGCTTTTGACGGTATAACATATGCCAGACCTCCCTGGAGCTAAGGAAGCTGTGCCAGTAAAAATTCAGTTTTAGTGGTATAAAACTGTGTCCACACCTACCAGCTTTTGCCAGGACAATTATATCAAGTAGAGGTTGTGCCTCATAAGACTTTATGTAAAGCTGTGCCAGCAAAAGTATAAATACCTGAATCAAGTGTTTCCAGCATAGTCCTGGGTTTCTGTGAAAACTTTCAGTTATCCTGTGGAATGTAAAGACTCTCTGAAGAATAAGTTATTACTTAAACTAGGTTTGATAATATCACCATGATCCACTCATTTATCTGTTGTCTCTTGTGCCATAGATTTCATAACATTTGGAAATACAGCTATGGGCCAGCTTTCTCTTCCCTGCACTAGTTAAAGCTGGCTTTACCAGTGGCATATTTGGATTAGTGCCACACTAAACACTGTTTGCTTTGGAGATTCCTCAGAGAAAAGCTAGCTGAAGATGTGGGAATTCTGCTTTTGAAAAGGCAGTTCTCAGAAACAGATACTGCTTTGGAAATGAATTCAGGCAAGCTAATGTTGTAACAGTGTTAGCACAATGTTTAGGGGGACTGTTTATTTATGCTGTTATGTTGTGATTACTTTGTGTTTAATTAAGCACTGCTAAAATCCATGGGGATCAGACTATTGAAAGAAATCTGACCACCACAAAGGAGAGAGAAGGCACATCAGTGATGTAGTTTGTAGCTGAAGTGGAGGCAAAGCTATTAAAAAATGATTGGCAAATAATTATTTCCAGCAGCAGTAAAAATAAAACCAAACCAAAACAATCCCAAACCTATTAGGAGACTGCTGGCAGTAATAACAGAACTTGTAGAATACACGATCCCAGCTCTTGCCTATGCTTGAAGGTTTAAGGTAGTGAATTAGCTGAACTAGTATTGGTCTCAGTGCAGTCAGATCCCACTTATCTGAGCCATGGTTAGCAATGATATGGACAAATTAATACCTTTGGAATAGGACTGCCAAAATCCCAATTATCAAGTGGTTTAGGGCTCTGTGTTGCATTCCAGTCTTGCATCATCTAAATCAGTATAACCTGATTGTTTTCAGTTGAAATGCAGAAGTATGACAAGATTTCATATCTCCAAAGCCCACAGGAGTTGATAGCAATAACATGAGTAAGGTGGTGGAACTATTTGAAGCACAGAGTAATGCCGAAGGGTACCCCAAAAGGAGAACACAGTTAAAGGTAAATATATATAAAAAAACCTGAAAGATCAACTATAAATTCTTGCTGTGTTTAGATTATGTGTTAGAAGCTGACAAATACTTTGAAGATTTCTTTATTTTATTCAAGTAGTTATAATTTAGCTTGTTTCAATGATTCTTTAGCAATCCATTTATATTCCAGCATTAGATAACCCATTTCCTTTTTGAAGGGGCTGGAAGACACAGCCTCTAATTAACGTTCTATGTACAGCAATTTTTTCCAAGCCTGGATGCTTTAGAAGCACGAGGACCAAGGTCAAGTTTTTTCAAGGAAGAGGTGAGAGCATAAATTAACTTCTGACATTAAATTCAGTGGCTCTTTTAAAATGGTGAAGTTCACGATTTTGCTTACATTTACTTTTCATCAGCCCGGGCTGAATTGAGGTAAAATAGTTCAGTTGCACGTGTGTGTCAGGCTAAATGGATTGCAGAAGATACAGATCTGTTTGCCTGTCTGCACTTGCCTTTAGACAATATTCATCAATTTTACAAAAGCTACTGACTAAACATGGAACCAGTACAAATGAAATGCTCAAGGCAAGGGCTTTCTTTTATAAATCTGATACAGAGTTGGTTTTACACTGATAGAAAGAAAATGTTGGCAGAAAATGAAAAACTTCTATTGTTTCTGTAATTTGGGGGATGAAAGATACAGACTGTTTTTAAGTATTTGATAGAAAACTGCTGTGTTATGCAGTGTAATTAGAGATGTTTTTATAATGCTTTGTTCACATCCATGTATATGAAAATATTTTATCCCATAGGTCTTTTCTTCTGTTGAAAAGGTTATGTAAATAAATAAAATTAATCTCAATACAGTAGATTTTAAAGGCATAATACTTATGTTCTAAGCTTTACAGCAGGTTCTGATTATTTAAAGGGTAAATAAGAATGCCATGAGTAATCACTGACTGAAAACTGTGCAGGATGGGTAACATGCACCATAACAAATATCCAGATCAGTTGTCTTATTATCATCTGAATATGGTTTTAGGTTCACTGGCAGTGGTACAAGATGCAATATAAAATTATGCTGGACTACTTAATGCAGAGGGGCAGATTCAGGGGTTCCATTCAAGTCATAGCATAGAAATAAAAATATTATTAAAATATTGTAGTGTGTTCAGAGCTGGCATTGCTCCTTTTCCAGTTCCAGCAGTGCTTTTCCATTAGTCCTGTGCCATGCAGTGGAGTTTGGGCTGTTGGATACTGAACCAGGCCAGGCTTAGGCTTGTGTCTAAGCTGGTCTGAGAGCAGGGCAAGGGAGATGAGGTGGGATGCACAGGAGACCCAAGGGATGTGATTTTTCAAGGCCACAACTTCATTAACTAGACTCATATGGGAGTCATTGAGCTCAAACTTGTACAGTGCAGGTCAAGCTCTCTCTCTTAATTGTTACCACCTGGTGCAAAGTTAATGTTGGCTCCCTAAACCCCTCCCTGCCCCTGACAGCCAGTCCTCAGCTTTCTGCTGGGGTCTGACCACTCTCAGCTCACACCAGGATTACAGAGCTGGGAAGAATTGTTGTTCCACTGTAGCAACAGAGATGAGAAACTCTCATCCCCAGCTTCAGCCTCCGCCTCTGTCCTTCTACAGCTCCACAGAGTGAGTACCTCCAAACACTCTGCTTCTCATCTGAGATTCAGGGTGCTGCAGCTCATCTTCTGTGCTGTCCCCCCAGGACAGTGATCTGACACAGGGAAGGGCCAGACAAGAAGAATTCTGTTCACATGAGGTTCCTCATCAAAAACAGACACTCCCCATAAGAGTGAAGAGTTCAGGACTACAGCAATCTGCCTTTAGAGGGTGGGAGCTGCTGGGGGGTGATGAAGGACTCTGGCCAAACCACCAGCATTTGTTGTTCTCCCATCCTGCCCTGTCCTGGCTCACCCCAGCTGTGCAGGCAGAGGCAATCCTGAACAGAACCTCTGCTCTCTGTCCTGCCCAAACTGACTCTCTACCTTCAATGTGGCTGGGCTTGCACCTCCATTTACATTCATCTGTCCTCTTCACCTTAGCCTGAGGGCATTCATTGAACAAGAGAAGATAATTTATACAATTACAAAAACACTGTGCACGTAGAAAGGCTACAGAACTGGCTGAATAACATGTAAAATAAAAGCCAAGAAATAACCAGTAAAATTAGCACATTAAAATGCTGATATTTACACATGAGCACTTCTCATATCATGGGAACTCCTGTTTCTTTTCTTGTTGCTTAGGCGATAACATTCATAATCCAAAAGGATGTATTATGCTTTGGTTTACATCCTCTAAATCTTCACTGGTTTTACAGGGCTCGTCCATGATGATCAAGAATTTGGTCACAAAAGTTGTTCTCCTCCCCCTCCCTATCGTCAAATACTTGCTTTCATGCCAACACATCTTGGTCTGATTAGTCCCCTTGATTACAGGCTAAAGTAAAAAGTCAGGTGTATAAGATTCCCATTATCCTTTATTCCTCTGCTTCTAAGAACAGGTCAGATAGAGCTATTTCAGTGAAAATGTGAACAATCAACTTCTGTTTACCATTAACCTTCAGTTTTCTTTTCTTAAAATCAAATCAGGGCTTGGTAGGCAGTTATTTTCATACATGTCCCTTGATCAGTGGAACAATCTGTCAAAAGCCATTAAAGCCTCTATTAGGTTGAATTGCATTCAAAGTTAAGCTCTCCAATCATTTGAAGGACTGTGATGATTGCTTTTAATATAGTATACATTGATTTCTCTCTTGGAATAGCAACATTGAAACTAAGCATGTATGACGTGAGCATTTTGCTCTCCAGTATGTCTTGAGAAGCTTTGTTCCTTAGGGAAGATGAATGTCTACATAGAAAGGGAAAAAACATATGCAGTGAAATCACCTCTTCATTGTCACAAGTTTTTAGCTTTTCCTAGTTCATTGTAACCCTCAAGGTGTAACATATGAAAGACAAAGACATTTTCCAGTGTCCCGTTCCTCAAAAAAACTTCACTGATTTCTCTAATTGTACTGTATTGTAAAAGTGGCTCTTTATCTTGAAATATCAGGATGCTTTACACAGAGAAACTGAGGCAGAGGTCAGAAGTGCAGCTGGGATCTGAGTGCAGCACTGGAATGAGTGTTATGTAACCCTCTGTCACTGGCATATCTCTATCACTGCCAGAAATCAGCTCAGCTTACAGAGCAAAGATGCTCTCATAGAACTTGTTGTCCTCCAAAGTTATATCTGAAAGTTGAGCTGGAATCTGTCCTATTCATGTCATATTTAGCACAATATTTAATTGCATAACATACAATAATGCATCTCATATAATAGAGACCTTTCAGACCTCCTGAAAGGTTTGATTAAAACTTTCCAGTGAATCTTTTAGTTACATTCGAAGTCCCTGAGCTCTCAATGGGAAAGACAGATTTTATTGGAATTAAATGATTCCATGGAGACTATGCAGTGTATAATGTGATGCAATATAATACTATCCCCACTCTTTTAGATCTGTTTTAAGTATTTCCACTGCATGCCCCACAAAGTGGTACAGCTGCTGTATCAGGAAACTCTTAAGAAAATACCCTGTTGGTATTTGTACTGTTTTTACCAAGGTGAAGGTGAGTTGCTGAAGCAAACTGGAATGCTGGTTATGCACCTGTTAGCACTTTGGTCTGGTACTTATTTGGTAGTCTGGTAGTACTTTACTGAGAGCACTGTGATACCAACTATTTTGATGAACATCCTAATAAATTATTATGCAACATCAAAGAATTCCACTATTCTTTTATTCCTGTTCTTCTATTGACTGATGCCCCTTCTTTCCCTTTTGTCTCAGTATTAACAGTAATGTTATTAACAAGTTTTGTTCTTTGTTAGGCTGATGTGACCTTTAAGTGAAAAAACTTTAGAATTGTGTATCAGATATTTCCTGAAGTGCATTTCTTTTCAAACCAATTCATTAGGTTATTTTGATTATTTTTTCATTTGGTACTGCTACTTTTTATTAAGACCTATTTATAGAACTCTGCAAAATATACAGTGATATGTAAGTTTGTGTTATGCATTTACTAATTTACTGACATTTATCAAACAAACTGCTTAAAGAATCCGTTTGTCATTTGCCTTTCAGAAGGTGTTAGTTCTTGTTTTCAATACCTCATAGTTGCAGTTCATGGAATTTAAGGTGCATAGGTGACAAAATTGGTTTCTGTAAGCTCTCTATATAGCAAATAGTGAGAGATAAACTTCATCAAAGCAGCACACTCAAAGATGCTGAGTCTACTCCTCACTG